AACTGAAGTGAAACATGTGAGAATGATGTTGGTGGCCGTTGCCCCGCCGATACCGTTGATGACGCCACTCAAGAGCAGAGGTGGAAGAGGAGAAGCGCCGCGCCAGCCACACTTTGCGAGCCCAGTGACCTGGGCGACCAGCGCGCACAGCGGCCGCGGTGAGGGACCGCCCCCTGCGCACCCCGTCCGGCATCGAGAAAGCGCCGCGCTTGCTATGCCCTGGACGACCGTCGTGCATAGTGGCCGCGGTGAGGGACCAACCCCTGCGCACCCTCTATGGCGTCGAGAAAATGCCACGCCTGCTATGCCGCCCTGGACGACCGGCGCGCATAGCGGCCGCGGTGAGGGACCACCCCCTGCGCACCCCGTCTGGCGTCGAGAAAATGCCACGCCTGCTATGCCCTGGACGCCCGTCGTGCATAGCGGCCGCGTTCAGGGGCCACCTCCTGCGCTGCCCCTGTGGTGTCGAAAAAATGCCACTCCTGCCGCGCTTTACAAATCCCAAGCGGATAGGGAGACCGCCCCCAGCGCACCCCGTGAGATGTCGAGGAAGTGCCAAGCCTGCCACGCTGAGAGCCTGAAACGGATAGGGAGACCACCCCCAGCGCACCCCCTGCGTTGCCGAGGAAGTGCAACGCCTGCCACGCTTTGCAAGACCGAAACGGATAGGAAAACCACCCCCTGCGCAGCCCCTATGGTGTCGAGGAAGTGGCACACCTGCCACGCTTTGCGAGCCCGAAACGGATGAGGAGACCACCCCCGGCGCACTCCCTGCGGTGTCGAGGAAGTGCCACGCCTGCTGCGCTTTCCGAGCCCGAAACGGACAGGGAGACCACCCCCAGCGCACCCCCTTGTGGTGTCGAGGAACTGCCACGCCTTCCACGCTTTGCGAGCCCGAAACGGACAGGGAGACCACCCCCAGCGCACCCCCTATGGTGTCGAGGGAGTGCCACGCCTGCCATGCTTTGCGGGCCCGAAACAGATAGGGGGACCACCCCCAGCGCACCCCCTGTGTTGCCGAGGAAGTGCAACGCCTGCCACGCTTTGCAAATACGAACCGGATAGGGACACCACCCCCAGCGCACCCCCTGCGGTGTCGAGGAAGTGGCACGCATGCCACCTTTTGCGAGCCCGAAGCTGATAAGGAGACCACCCCCGGCGCACCCCCCGCGGTGTCGAGAAAGTGCCACGCCTGCTGCGCTTTCCGAGCCCGAAACGGATAGGGATACCACCCCCAGCGCAGCCCATGTGGTGTCGAGGAACTGCCACGCCTTCCACGCTCTGCGAGCCCGAAGCGGATACGGCAACCACCCCCAGCGCACCCCCTTTTTATGGTGTCGAGGAACTGCCGTGCCCGCCACGCTCTGCGAACCGGAAACGAATAGGGAGACCCCCCCCAGCGCACCCCCTGAGATGTCGAGGAAGAGCCACGCCTACCACGCTTTGCAAGACCGAAACGGATAGGGAGACCATCCCCTGCGCAGCCCCTGTGGTGTCGAGGAAGTGGCACACCTGCCACGCTTTGCGAGCCCGAAATGGATAAGGAGACCACCCAAGCGTCGAGAAGACGCCACGCCTGCCGAGCCTTCCGAACCCGAAACGGACGGGGAGACCACCCCCAGCGCTGCCCCTGTGGTGTCGAGGAACTGCCACGCCTTCCACGCTTTGCGAGCCAGAAACGGATACGGCAACCGCCCCCAGCGCACCCCTATGGCGTCGAGGAAGTGCCACGCCTGCCACGCTTTGCGAACCCGAAACGGATAGGGAGACCACCCCCAGCGCACCCCCTGAGATGTCGAGGAAGTACCACGCCTGCCACGCTTTGCGGGCCCGAAACGGATAGGGAGACCACCCCCAGCGCACCCCCTGCGGCGTCGAGGAAGTGCAACGCCTGCCACGCTTTGCGAGCCCGAAATGGATAGGAATACCACCCCCGGCGCACCCCCTGCGGCGTCGAGAAAGTGCCACGCCTGCCACGCCCTGCGAGACTGGCACGCATAGAGGCCGCGCTGAGGGGCCACCCCTTGCGCACCTCGTCTGGTGACGAGAAAGCGCCGCGCCTGCCGTGCCCTGCGCCATGGCCCGCAAAGAGCCCCCTGCTACACAGTGCGATGGAGGAGGGGAGGAGGGGGGAGGGGAGGCGCGAGGAGACGCGGGTGCGACGCGGCAGGGAGGAAAAACAAAACTCCACCAAACATGTGGGGAAACAACAAGGAGGGGAAGAGTGAGGTGTGAGTGTCGCGGGTGCGGCGCGGCAGAGAAGAATGCCAGAACCCCGCGAAACGCACGGGGAAAAACCTGGGCCGGCATCGCGCACCGCGCCCCCCCACCGCGTCTGACACTCCGACCCTCCTGGATCTTCTATCTGAGCCTGTCAAGGACCCCCACCCAACAAAAACCTGCGCCAGCACCCGGCCGCCACCCACACCGCGCCCTCCCGCCACGTCTGACGCCCCCACCCGCCTGGATTCTCTTTCTGAGCTTGTCAAGGACTCCCCGCCCAACAAAACCTGCGCCGGCACCCCGCGAACGCCCGCGCCGCGCCCCCCCGCCGCGTCTGACACCCCCACCCTGCTGGACCCTCTTTCTGAAATTTCCAAGGACCACCCTGCAAAATACTGCGCTCGTCCAGGAAGGTCCGCGCCAGGGTCCGACGCATCGGCAGGCTCAGGCCCCCCGGCGCCCACTCTCGGCTCCCGGCCTCCAGCTCGCCCAGGCCCGCGGCCTGCTCGGACAAGATGCGATTGTAAGAGCCGGTTGACTCGTCGCCAATCACGAACTCGCACTCGCGCCGGGCCGGCGCGCTCGCGGGGCAGACTCCTGGACTTCTCCTCGGTAGCAAGACAGCCTCGAGGCCTGGACCTTCTGCCAGTAGCCCCCCCTGCCGCGCGGCTAGCGAGGCTTCCCCTGCCAGAGGTCCAGGGGCCGCAGCAGCAGGACGCTTTCCTGGGGAAGGCCCCGCAACGGCTCCGGGATCTCGGCCAGCGTCGGGACGGGGCGGGGCCTGTGACAGCGCTTGCAGGGCCGCGACACCGGCGCGAGGTCGGGCCAGCCCAAGCTCCTCTGCGTCAGCTTCTCCGGGGTGCGCATGCCGCAGCGCTCGCAGACAGACCGACTTCCATGGTGGAGCCAGGCCGCCCCGGCCCACTCCGCGGGAGACATCCACAGCGCGCAGGCCTCTGGGTTCGCCAAGCCGTTGCGCCGCATCCAGCGGTGGACGCCCTGCGGGATCTCCCTCTCGCGCTGCTCCCCGTGGCCGCTCTTGACCCGGACGACGCCGCGGGAGACGATGCCGAGCAGCGCAGCCCGGGCGCGCCAAAAGGCAGCGACCTTGTCGCAGGTCCAACCGTAGAGCCCGCCGCAGCGTTGGCGCTCACGCGGCATGAAGGGCAGACAAGTGCCTCGGAAAAGAAGGTGTGACTCTGGCTGGAGGCAACCAGCGGCGCGGTTTCCTGGGCACACCCTTCGGCGGCGACCGCCGCGGGTTTCGGGGAGACCCCTTCCGCCACGCATTTGGGCGCCCGAAACGGGTACGGAAAGAATGGGTACAATGCCCAGCAACAAATGTTGCCCCAAACCAGCAACGCCCGCTGTTGGGCAGGCGGCCCTCTGTCTTGAATGGACACAGGCCGCGGCGGCGTGGACAGCGAATCCGGTTCAAAATGAACAGGAACTGCTGTTGAGCATTGTACCCATTCTTTCCGCACCCATTTCGGGCGTCCAGAACGCAGGCACGACAGCACAACCAAGGAGCGAGCGGATCGCCGAAGACCTTCAACCGAAACGGCCACGGAGACCTGCCCGAGGGAGAAGCGCGGACACCCACGAGGTTGCCACTTACTGAGTATCAGAGCTGGCTATTTTCGTTTTTCGAGCGTCGTCCACAAGATCGCCGCGCCGACTGGACCCGCTGACCGGGGGGGACCATGGAAGAATCAGGACTGCACACCAGGACGAAACTGATAGCAACCTCGCCTTCTAGAACGGGTGGCTCACAAACCGAGATTGTATCGGAACTTGGTCAAGAGCCCCTAAAGGGGGAACCTATGCCACAACCATGGAACGGCTCCAGAATGCGGAGGTTTGGACCTGCGGGCCTGCCAGGGAAGGCCCACACCAGGATGCCCCGGGAGAAGGAGAGGACACGTTCCCCGACGGAGCGGGGGGCGTGGAAGGTCCGCGGAGCAATCGGGGCTGGAAGCCACGCCGAAATTGCGAGCGACCTCGGCTTACAGAGCGGGCGGTGTGCGGACCGAGGTTGCACTCCTTTTCCTCCTCACTCCTTTGCACGGTTCGGCAGTCCCCCTCTTTGCTGCCGCACTTCCCTGATCACCTCAACTCGCCTGGACATCGTTTCTGGATGGGCTGGTGGGGATATTTGTTGGTCGCGACCGCAGGCGAGAGCGCCGACGGCGAGTAGGGTCGAACGGGCACGCGCGAGCCGAATTGCCTAACGCCGACGGGCCGGCGGCCTAAGCAGCACCTAAGCGGACCGGTCAGCGCGAGGGGGTGCGGGCTGCAGCTGTCAGGAACCAGGTCGGGGGAGCCGCAATCGACTACCCCCCCTCCCGCCCCAAGAGGACCCCGAAAGCACCCCAAGAGGCCCTGGGGGCCCCCAAGACGCCGCCAAGGAGACCCAAAAGACTCCCAAGAGGTCCCCAAGAGGCCCCCAAGAGGCCCTAAAGAGGGCTCCAGGGCCGGCGGAATGAGCGAAGCGACTAAATAAGTACAGTTTGGTTTGGGTTTGTAATGAAATTACACCAGAGCAATCAGTGGATGGTTTGAAAACTAGTGAGGTGGACATCGAGAACGATTGTAGGATCGATACGGAGATCGAAAGTGGGATCGAAAGTGAGGGCAATTGTAAGGCCGATCGTCAGACCGAAAGTGAAGTCGATTCAGTGAGATCGATCATGAGATCGCTCGTGCGATCTCTAGTTAGATCGATTGTGAGATCGACAGTCAGAGCGATTGTGAGAACCTCGCCTCGGCAACCCCACAAATTATGGCAATGGAGCGAAGCTTCCGCGCGTTGAGCGGAAGTTCAAGCTCAAGCTAAAAGAGAAATAAAAAATGGAGCGAAGCTTCCGCGCATTGAGCGGAAGTTCGAGCTCAAGCGCATACAGCTGGCCTTCAAATAGATTGGATCGAAAATGGAGCGACGCTCACACCGAAGGCAGAGCATCAAGCTCAAGCTAATGTAAAGGGGAGCCCCAGGTTACCGTGGGCCTGCAGAAAGTGGGTCTCCTTTCTGCGGTCCAGGCGGCGCAAGAGCACCGCTCCCCTCGGATCCTGGAAACCATGTAGAGCAACTGCATCGCACTTACATATCCAGGGAGTCGGAGACCTCGGGCCCATGGAGGCATGAGGCAAACAACGGATCATACGAGGAGGGCGGAGGGAGGAACGCAGAATACCCACCCGACAATTCCCACCCGATAACTCCTGGCCCACCCTGACCCTTCACTTGGCGCCCCACCTGCCCCCCCCGCAGCTCGCCGCGCCATTCTCATACCCCGGCTCCTTGTTCTGGGGGGCACCCACTGGACAATTCCTGGACCAGAAGGCCCGAAGAGCCGCCACGATGGCGGAAGATGGCCACATGTGGCCCACGATGGCCTCCACGATGTTTCGACGATGCCCCACCCAGATGGCCTGAAAGACTGTCCAAGATACTGTGAAGGCGGTCTACAATTATATTACTCCCATCGTACTTCAGGACCACATGCCAGAAATAATTTCGAACACCCGGAAAAATGTCGAACGGGTGCTGAAACAATTTCGAAACAGTGCTGGACGAGTGCCTCCCAGGGCCCGATACGTGAAAACCTTAGAGTTTTGGTGCTTTTCTGGAGCTCGAGATTCCTTCTGGTGATCAAGGCGAAAGTCGGTTGGAACGTCAGAAATCTACAAGGGCTCGAGGACAATCTCCAGCCAGGCCTGAAGATGCCCGAAGCACCTGGAATGATCGGGAGTGTCCCCCATACAGGGGGATGATGGGCGAAAAATGTGTAAAACAAGCGTTTTGTAAAAAAACTCAAAAATGCTCCAACATAGTCAAAACATCGTCCGCGCATTAGGTTTTGACTATGTCTGAACATCCCTCCTGTAGAGGGACAGACCCGACTTCATCCTGCGAACCTTCAGATCTGTTCCCCGAGGGATAGCTGCGCGGCGCGTCAGGGAGCGAGGAGAGGAGGGAGATTATAGGAAGGCCTCAGGCTCCGCGTCGTGCTAGATCTCCGCGACCTGCTCCGACTCGTTGTACTCGTTGTCCTTAACTTCCGCGTTGTCAATGCCGCGCTCGGGTCTTGGGCTCCTGCCACGTCTGCGCTTCACCAGGCATCCCAGCGCGACGCAGCAGACCAAGAACAAGATCAAGACACCAGCGAAGACTGCAATTAATCCCCATGGCTCGGTGGTCGCTGTGGTGTTTGACGTGTCCGAACTCATGCCCGTATCGGTGGTCGTCGTGGCCGTCTTGGTGGTCGTCGCGGTGGTCGTCTCAGTTGTTGTCTCGGTGTTTGTCTTGATGATGGTAGTAGTGCTTGACGCCGCGGAACTCGTGCCCGTATCGGTGGTCGTCGTGGCCGTCTTGGTGGTCGTCGCGGTGGTCGTCTCAGTTGTTGCCTCGGTGAAGTCGAACACGTACGCGGAGCCTGAATTGGTGCCCTGGTCGTCGTCATTCATGGCCCCCACCACCACGCGGGCCCCGTCGGAGCTCACGGCCACCGAGTCACCGAAATAATCGTTTGCGGCCCCATCACTCGCCACAAGCTTGAGCAGCCTCTCGCCGGTGGTACCGTTGAACACGTACGCGGAGCCGAAAGCGGTGCCCTGGTCGCTGTCATAGAAGCTCCCCACCACCACGCGGGCCCCGTCGGAGCTCACGGCCACCGAGTAACCGAACCTGTCGAGTTGGGCCCCATCACTCGCCACAAGCTTGAGCAGCCTCTCGCCGGTGGTACCGTCGAGCACGTACGCGGAGCCTGAATAGACGCCCTGGTCGTCGTCTTGGCAGGCCCCCACCACCACGCGGGCCCCGTCGGAGCTCACGGCCACCGAATTACCAAATTTGCTGTATGCGGCCGCATCACTCGCCACAAGCTTGAGCAGCCTCTCGCCGGTGGTACCGTCGAACACGTACGCGGAGCCTGAATTGGTGCCCTGGTCGTCGTCACCAGTGGCCCCCACCACCACGCGGGCCCCGTCGGAGCTCACGGACACCGAGTAACCGAACGAGTCGCCTGCGGCCCCATCACTCGCCACAAGCTTGAACAGCCTCTCGCCAGTGGCCCCGTCGAGCACGTACGCGGAGCCTGAATTGGCGCCCTGGTCGTCGTCACCAGTGGCCCCCACCACCACGCGGGCCCCGTCGGAGCTCACGGCCACCGAGTCACCGAAATAATCGTTTGCGGCCCCATCACTCGCCACAAGCTTGAGCAGCCTCTCGCCGGTGGTACCGTTGAACACGTACGCGGAGCCTGTAGTGGAGGCCTGGTCATCATCATAGACGCTCCCCACCACCACGCGGGCCCCGTCGGAGCTCACGGCCACCGAGTAACCGAACGAGTCGAATTGGGCCCCATCACTCGCCACAAGCTTGAGCAGCCTCTCGCCAGTGGCCCCGTCGAGCACGTACGCGGAGCCAAACTGACTGCCCAGCTCGTCGTCATCGTAGTAGCCGCCGGCCCCTACCACCACGCGGGCCCCGTCGGAGCTCACGGCCACCGAAATACCGAACTGGCTGTAGGCGACCCCATCACCCGCCAAGAGCTTGAGCAACTGCGCGCCGCTGGTAGCCTGGCGCCTGCCGAACGCTGCCTGCGGCTCGCGAGGGCGACCGCTCGCCGAACCCTCCAGCCTCGGGCGGGCCAGCGTCCCGCTCGCCGGCGACCCGGCGCTCGGGGCGCCGCGCGCTACCAGCAGCAGGAGCAGCGCGCCGACGCTGTGGGACGTGCGACGGCGCATCATGCCGTCTGCAGATGGCTGACAGAAACGAAAGACGCCCGAAGGGAACCCTGGGAGGCCGGCGACGGCCCCTCGGAACCTTGAGCCAACATTGTTACGGACCTTCCGTTTTTGGTTTTGGTTTT